GTAAGCCGAAACTCCGTTTGAAACGCTAAATCTCAAGAGTGTTACACGATCGCTCTCCCTAGTGTGGCACTACGACACAATCAATAATCAATCTCAAAAATCACGTCATGGTCACACGGATGCACGCTACGTTATAAAAATGATAACAAGACTGGGTCTATAATTATTTTGTTGAAAAATAAAATCAATTATCTTCAAAACCATATAAAATCATTGCAACTTACATAGTAGATATGTAAAATACAGTTGTTCAGAAAAAAGTAAGTTTTATATGTTTTACTATTTGATCAACACAAATCATGAATACTTTTGTCAAGTGAGTGTGCATTCTCATTCACTCTTACCTCCCATATCTGCCAGCTCCTTGTACCTTCCTCTTCCATTTTATCAATAATATCCTCACCATTTAATAATAATCTAAAACATACCATTCGATTAATATTTTTCTCATACCTTTGGACAATTTGGACTTCATATTCATACACCTCATGCACTTTTGGTTCCTCCTCTCCACCTATTCCCGCTGACATATTCATATCCTTTAAAAATATCTTATTCAGTCACTACTCTTTATTCTCCTCACGGCTCTGGCCATCCATACATGCACTATCTAATATAATTAACAATGAAATAACAGCATCCTTACCTTCTCCTCCTTCTATTTACATTACTTAATATTAACATTAATTAACTATATAAATACCAGGCACTAGGCCAAGTTTCTTTGTTGATTCAGTTTAGTCACATTAATGTACTAGCTGTCTAAAAGCAGCTTTAGCAGTTTTCCGTAGTTGTCAATAAAGATCCTATAAAAACGAAATCTCAGAGGAATACGTCACGTTAGAGCTTATTGAACCTTTCACAGAAAACGCACCCCAAACATGAATTTTGTACGGATGTTTTACCATAGCTTTGGGAGGTTGTGTACCAGATTATAATACACTTTTTGGGTATTTCTGAGCATTTGTATACTGATTTTGTCAGAAAAAAATAACCCAACTTTGTTCCAATTTTGTCATCTGTATTTCACAGAAAATTTCAAACAGCATTCTTTGCATCTATCTGTGAGAATAGGAACGGTCTTGGGACAATACAACGATATTTCAAATTACAGTCGAACCCCGTTATACCGAAGGCACGGGGGAGTCATATATGATTCGTTATAACGAGAAATTCGGTAAAACGAACGCTCTCTTTGTAACAAAGTCTAGCCTAAAATCAAGTAATATTCGGTATATCGAGGCTTTCGTAAGCAATATTTATTAGTTGCAAAATAAATATCAATATACAGGAAGAAAGAATTTATTCTAGATTGCGCTTGTAACATTATGTAATTCCACCTTCCTTTTCAATGAACAAAAGACTTTGAGCTCATTCTAAATTATATTCTTTCTTTTCTATTGGCTTGACAATTATTTAGTACGTTTTGAACTAGTTTTAAAGCGGTTATGGCATCTTTGGTCAAGACAGTGGCGACCATATCGTTGTTTATGACCACAATTACTGCAACCAATCACCATGTTAAATTTTTGTATCACGTGATAAACTTCGCTGCAACCGAACTTCGGTAACGGAATAATACTATTAAAATTCGTAATAACGATCAAATTTAAATATTAAAAAAAAGGAGAAGTAACCCTTGCTTCGGTATAACAAAAATTCGTTATAACGGGGTCCGACTGTATGAAGTTCATTGAGCACTGTATGACTGCTGACATTAAGGAGGTAGAGTATCTGTTACTTGTAATCAGTTGACCAAGATAATGACGTTGATTAGGAGAGAGTTTTCAGGTCTACTACTATCAGAGCATGGTTTAGGGTCCAAAGATTTTCTATTTTTAAGTTTTTTTATATAATTATATATTGTAGAAAGCGAAATAAAGTTAATTCATGTATATTGTAGGCATCATGGGTACCATTTGCCCATGAAGTTGTTATCGTTTTGCGATTTTTGATCGATCGAAGACTTTGTCATTGTATTGTTAGTTAAAGGAACGAAAAGTGTAAACAAAACGAATTGCGCGAATAACAAAATAGTGCTATCGAGTTTTTTATTGTAATACATATGTAAGAATAGAGCGTACAAACCGTGTTAGATGACTTTTTTGTATTTCGGAAGGAAATCGTGTTTACTTGACATGCATCTCATTTCAAAAACTTTTTTCGTGCACTGCATGTCTATTTATATGACAATTTTTGTTTAATGCACTGATTGCACAGCATGTTTTTTACTACGCAGTTGGAGCTATCCAGACAACATGGCTATTAATATATTTAAAATCGGAATACAGTTTTAGCATCGATCATTGCCAAAAGATGGTAAAAAAAAAAGGTCGACATAATAAAAAGGAAAGGTTTACATTACGCAAATTGAGGCAACAAATAAAAAAAAGCGCGTTCAATCTCTACTATATGTTAGTAAACGTAATGGTTAGAAAAGCAAACTTGTGAACGATGTGGGGCATGATTTTTTCATCCCCCCAAATGCTGCGTTCACATCTTAATCGAAATATCCATGCTGTCCTCGAGACCCAATACCTGCACCCTGAGACACCCAAATTCGAACTAACAAACGTTATTAATTCAGGTAGCGAAACATTGAATGCACATTATCGCGTACAAATAGGAAAAGAAAGCATATACTCCCAGTACACTTAGGGAGCAGATAACAAAAATCTTTAATGAACGGTTTGATTTAATATTAACGCACGGTTTCAAAACTCGATTATGTCTTGTAGGGAAATTGTCAAGATCAGGAAGGTATTTTCGATAACGTAAAATTTGCAGATGATGATAATAATGATGAGAAAAATTATAAAAAGTTCCATACAAAAATAAAGCCATAGTAGTAGCAAGCAAAGTGGATATACCGAGAATTGTTGATGAATTATGAGTATTCAAACAGAACGTACCATAAACTCTTCGACATCAGTGATACGTTTCGTATTTCCATTCGCGTCCCACCAGCATGCGACCACACCAATTTTTGTAAAGTTGATATCGTGCCAGAAATGCACAACTCGAAGGCCTTTTTTAAGTTCATTATCACCCGGCCAATAAGGATTCTCGGTTACATCGTCTTCGCACGTAAAATGGACGATCCAAGCCTCCTCGGCCGAGAGTTCATTTGCGTAAATAAGAACTCGTGAAAAATGTTCGTCGAGCTCGTTCCGTTTTGCTGTTGCCAACAGCTCAAGTACAACCGTTGGATATCCAGGCGAATCAATAACTATATCACTGTATTTGTGTTGATTACGTCCGTTACTATAACGTACTATATGCCATTGTCCCGTAATTTTAAAACCGATGAGCCAATTCGACAAGATTCGGTACAGCTCTGCTTCGTATACGCTTTCTTTGGGTACACATTCGTTTTTAACGTTATTCACATTCACATACGCCCTCTTGAATGAACGTAAATATGCCAAAATCATGTTTCCTCTATCAAACGTACAGACAGCCTGTTTCAAGATCTCGAGAATATCCAGAGTACGTGGAGAAGAACGGTAAGGTACTTCGACTTTCGGGGAGGAGGGAAACACCTTGGGAATTACTTTTTGAAGGATTAGCCAGCGCACTAAGGGCGAGGAAATCTTGAAGGTGCCAGCTTCTTCTCCGGGAACTAGGACTCCTTCAGCTGTGAGGAATAAAGCTAAATCCCTTTGGTCATCAGCAACATGTACAGGGTCGATATTCGCCAGGAAATCTGATCGAAAGAGTTTCATAGCACACTTAGAATCTTCCCTCAGAAGAGCATTCTTCATCCGTATAAACGTTGAATACTCTGTAACCTCATTCCCCAGTGAAAAGGCTGAAAAACGTTGCCATGTGTCATAGTTTAAGTGCGTTCCCTCTACTAGTTTTTTCATAAGCTTCCTATAAATGGTGCGCCCGCATAGGCAGACGAGTCCAGCATGGCTGTTAAAAAAAGTATCATGGAAATGATGAGTCTTGGTAAAAAAAATACTTCATGAAAATCTAGTCACATACCCGCCTGTCTGCATATATATGTCCTCGATAATTTCTGAGTCGATGGTTATACGTTCTTCTTTCATAAATTCTTCATATAATGTTTGTACTTGTTCTCGAGTAAAGTTTGGGTTTTGAAATGGTGTCATGACATTGAAAGGTGATGTAGTCAACTCTTTCGAATTCAGATATAAAATACTAAACGGACCGACGGCAACAACAGAAAAGATAGCAAATGAGCTTTTGTCATTTCTGATGCCACGCAGAGTCTTCAGGCATGATGATTTAACATCTTCACTTGCTCTATACAATTCATCAAACTCATCAAAAAGGAGAACAACATTGTGCTCCCACTGATCGCGCTGAAACGCTTTGAGAAAATCCTGTGCAGAATCGATTTCTGAAACGGAAATGCCATTCCCATGAGCATTGCGAAGGAGAGCCATACCAAGTGTCCGCCAGAAGGTGTCTATATCCCCCTTGACCTCGACATGCTCAAAAGATGTACTATTCCATAAAAAAAGGAGAAAAAAGAGCACAATCGTGTCAGCTTGTAAGCCCACATTATACTTATTATTTGAACAAGACCCATACTTACTAAATGCAAACAAATCCTTCATTTCGCAACTGATCTTGAATTGCAAGCACCCGTGTAGACTTCCCCGAGGCTCGTGGCCCGTATAACGCTACAAACTCACCCCGATGAATTAACTCAAGAAGTGGGCCATTCCGTTCTGTTGGGTCCGCATAATAGACTATAGAGCGCTCTTCTCGTGTAATCGCACTATTTACCGTCCACTTCCTTTTTTTCGGTGCAAACGTAACTAGAAAAAAAAAGAGTTAGTGGAGAAACAACGCGTTATTGAGTAATATAGAGTAAGGTTAACCTGTATAAGCTTACGTTCTCCCTCCGCTTTTCGTTTCCCCGTTCTGATAACAGTGAGGCATAAGTTAATAAATGAAATTACTGCGGAGAAAGCGGTATAAGTTGGTTAGAGCAGTCCTAATGCTTACCTTCTCGCTCGCCCTTTATTTCTTTGATTAGGTCTACAATCGTTTTTGCTGGACCCATTGTCATTCCGCATCGTTCAAGCTCTTCCTGACTCAACTTAAGGAAGGCGCGGCCAGCAACCCAGTTATCTTCAAATACTTTAATATCTCGATCTCTGAGAAACAACTCATCCTTCTTAGTCTCCAGAAAAGTAATGACGTTCTTGGGGCTCCATTTACTGACTTCTTCAACCGAAGGGACTGATAGAAAAGACATGTTAAAATTATGGTATAGAGAACCGCGCAATCTAGTGGCGTTTTTTTTTTTTTGTGTAAGATTTCATTATTATAAAATTGCGTTTATATATAAATAAATAAAAATAATAAAAAACGCGGGTAATTACGTAACGAAGATACGGTGCAGATGTGTTGATTATTCAGTGTAGTCGTAATAGTCGTAGTAACATATATCGCCTATTCTCTGTCCCAAACGCCCCGAGTCATAAAGTCGTTACCTGTATAAAGGCCGAATATTATCGGATTACTTTTTGATATCTTAAAAAAGTCTTTTAACTTGACGAAATTTCCTTCATGTTCATGGAATAAAGCATCGTTTAACAATTTATATTGGTTGTCTTCAGGAGCCTTTACTTTGAGAATAATCGTGCCCGCAGCACACGACAGTTTTTCTCTGCCTACGATTTCGTTTTGAATGTTATGAATGCTGTCAGGGAGCTTTTCGACACGTATTCGCTGGGGGACGTCCCCGAAAGGTGCAGTATACCATAAACTATGTCTAGTTCTTTTTGGAGGCATGGTAGTCAACGTGTACAAGGAGAAATAACACGCAATAATACTGTTATAAATATGTTGCGTCATTATAATGCGAGAGTAACCAATGAGAACTGGTGCGCAGAGACTCGCGTCTAATTATGCGTCTGCAAAAAAACAACGCCAATCCAAAAATTTAACCATAAACAAATATTGATAAATAATACCAACCATAGATTTCGATATCTGCATATTATTTGCAGAGCATTGCCACATGGTCTCTGATGTACAGCAATGAAAAACATTACTATTAATAAAGTGATTATTTCGTGTCGATGCATCAGTTTCCTGACTGTACTCATTCCTAATATGGTCATCGAGAATTTTACAAAACTCTGATCATTCCTGATTCAAATGTATGTATCATGTAGTAGTTAATCAAATTTAAGTTTGTTCATGCAGTTAGTAGTAATATGCGAAAGACGTAAAACAAAAAATATTCCAAATGGATGTGTAAAAAAATACCATATTGGTACGAAGCGATATGTTGATATAATTAATAATCGAATACCTTCTGAACCAACAGAGGAGTGGCATTGTGAAGCGGAGCTTCGAGGTTCTGTGGTTACACCTGCCTCATCAGTTAACAAGACTTGCGTAGCGTGTAAGGTATGTACATATTTGCTCTGCAAAGCCACTTACGCAAATTTTTAGTAGTGCTGAAACTTTTACCAAATTAGACACAACTCAGAAGCTTTGCCCCGCCCGTATTATCAAATATGAAAACACTAATACAGCCTCAGTGGTGCCACCGCAAAGTGGGAATGTTTCCACTTATTCCATTTTTAAAACACTGAAGCTTGCTTATCCCGAAGTATGCCAAAAAAATAGTAATAGTAAATCCAATGAGACGAGGTGATGTAGATTTTTTATGTAAATAACCTTTTCAATAAGGTCAATTTCGGTTCCAGATTGAATTGGTTAATGCATTCTTTGACATTGCAAAATATTAATGAAGATGCAGAGCTTCGAGTCTTCGACTCATGTTACATATGTTATGGTCAATCTGTTTTGTTGGATACGCAAACGGAAGAGAGGCTTTTAAATCAGAGCCAGTGGTGTGGTACCACGGCCATAATAAAAAGTGAAGTGGAGCTTCGAGTCAAGCACTGCTGAACTGAAATGTTACTATGTCGAATTACTGATCAGGGTTCAAATTAAAATTTGTGATCATGCAACACCAATGACTCTTATCTTCCCACGGGAGTAGTTACACAAACAAAACATTTGTATCCAACAAGCAAATAAAAGCAGTATATAAACTCGAAGTATGGCATTCGCAAAACTATAATTATACCAATGAGAGAATCAAAGTAATGAAGTAATACAACTGAATAAGCATTTCGTTCGTCCATCATATCAATATTAGCAACAATAATAACAACAACATGTATCATCATCATAACCTTCATAACATCTTCATTAACATAATAATAATCTCAACTGGGAGTAGGAGTTTATTAATATAGTTTTGTTTTTCTTGATTAAAGTCATCAGAAGACTCACATGTTGATTGTCAATGTATTAACACGGGAATTCTTCAAAAAGAAGCTCCTCATTTTATAGCTTCTCCAAAACAATAAAGACAAAAGTAAAAAATTAATTATCTTTAGTAAAAACATGAAGAAAATAATGTCATTCATGTCGATTTCTCCACTAATAAGATCACTAATTATCTTTTCAAACTAGAGCAAAAGAAGACCTCTAATCTTCACAAGGGATGGGACAATATTTAAACTTAGAAAAATAGAACTATATAAATGAGACATATATGTAAAGCAAAATACTGTAACACTACATATTCATTATCTTGGCTGACGTTTCAAAATTATTTGCTGAATTTCGTAAAGATCAATGATAAAGTTACCATCAGGAATTGCAGGATGAGAAACCAGTGGAACATATCTGATAGCTGGAATAGGTGGGTCATAAAATACGTCACTTATTGGAATGTTGATCTGATATGCTGGAATGCCTGGAGCATTACACCCAGTAGGTCGACTACTACGTTTTTGCACAGTCCCAAAATGCCACTATTTTTTAGACATATTAATATACATGTAAATATCGAAAAATAAACAATGATAAACAGAATCTCTAAACAGTTTAACATTACTTTTCTGGTTGGAAATCCCTGTCTCCATAATGTAGCCTAATATTTAAAAAGTTTTTAGTATATCAACTATGAAACTATAATAAAATAGTCAATAGTAAATAGATACATGCCTTCATCGATCGATTAAATTGTCCATGTGTATTTCGTGTAGTTCTCAAATCGTAAATCTTTATTCCTAATACACATCTCACATACATCTGACTCATCCAAAGTTCACACTTTTTTCTCAATCCATGGTCATCTTGACTAACTGCAACCTCACATATTATTCTAGCATGAGGATTCCCCTACAAAATACAAAAGTATATGTATTAGAAAATTGCATACAAAACAGATAATGATAATATACACCAAATTCAATGTACCATTGTGTCGCTTGGGGGAGGTCCAAGATTGAGAGGTCCAGAATCGGGAGGTCTTGAAACGTATGCCTCATCCGGATATATTGCAATATCCGGGGCAATGTTAAGTCCATCTGCATTTGGTGAAGGATGAACTATAAAAAGGATGTAAGATATTAGAAAATCCATAAAAAGTCAAAGATCAAGCAAGCTTAAATTTTCTTACATGGTTGACCCACGACGAATATTGGTGGATCAATAATAATGCCACGATTTGGAATTTTGAAATAATCTTGCAACAGTGCAACAACGGCTTCGTGTACTAGTGTGCACATATCAATAATAATAACGTCGCCGTTATTATACTCAAACTTGTACCCAGACGGTTTACGGCTTTCAAGAAATTTGTTGTACTTTTTTATCGATATATTGGAAGCAATCTTAAAAGGTAAACTGCAATTCAAATGAGCTAACACCAAGTGGGACTTAAAGTAAAAGATCACAGTTCTATGATATAAAAACATATGTTACCTATTCTCCTCCTTTGGAAATTCTAGAGGTTGAAAATGTTCTTGAAGTTTCTTAGTCAAGTTACGAAACATTTTGAAAAAGTTTGAGAGAAAAATATGAAGTGGTTTTGTAGAAAATTACGTAGTAGTGGTTAAGGGGTTTATCGATCACAAGTCACGAGATATTTGAAAGGCACGGGAGTTAGGGAATATAATGCGCTTCGCGGAATACATCTGGGAAACTCGAGAATCCAGGTAAACTCGGAACTAAACGGTTAAATAAATATTTAAAACCGTATGGACTTATTCCGCGTTATTTGCGCAAAAATGGGTGCAGTATACGCTATAGTAGCACATGGGGCCAAAAACCTAGCCCACGCCATGACAATTGCCCAAGATAATAACATATCTCCGACGCAGAACTGTGAATTAGGAGTACCTCCAGATAAGGTAACGCCATTTCAATTCAATTCAGTGATAGACCAGATGCAGTGGCGGAAGTGGATTACATCATTGATTAGTATGATCGCTAATCATACGAAATCTATACACTGTGCCACAAAGAAAATCCAAAATTAGATGCGAGAAGTGGAGCCTCGAGGCAAAATTAGCATTCAGATATCGGCATACTTTTTCATAATTAAAGATTGCTTTGGTTTCACATGTTTGTTACTATTGTATGCCTGTCATACTGGTAATTTATTACCTCGATTTAGAACGAAATCTAAGGAACCAATGCCATAGTCGCCAATGACAAGTTTAGTCCGGATGAGATTTTATTTAAGTGCTCAACTATTTTATTCAGAGGATTTGTAAACCCGTATCGAACTACTTTTTTTTTTTATTTTCTCGTAATAGACCATTAAAGAAAGTCCCCTTAAGATCTTGATTATCTAAATCGACACCTAATACTGTAGCATATACCTTTATCATCTTGAAATAATTATTTATGGACTGATTAAATTGTGGGTGGCGGAGTTCCTGGTCCAATAACTAATGGTACATTAGTATCATCAAGTAATGTAAGAGTTTTATTTGGGAAATCCACTTTCACTGCATTTTCCTGAAACCATGGCTGACCCAATACCAGTACAAATTTAAGTTGCGGTTTATTAGAAACAAAAATATCGGTGACTTTTACTTGTTTCCATTTAGGGCCTTGAGATATGATCGAAATCTCTATTCCAAATTATTCCCAACACATCGACCTTGCTAATGGGATTATATATTTCTGCATCGCAGGTTCATCGATTTCCAAGCCTACGCCATTTACTACTTCCTCACCTATAATATTACAATCAGCACCGGAATCTAATATAGCTGTAACAGGTACTTTATTGATTTCGCAGAATAAAGATATCATTGTGATGTTTTATGATAATTATATATTTAATACTATATTTTTACTCGTATTAATAAATAATATTATGGCATCGACAACAACTAAACCTACTATCGATTCAAGCACTAACTAAAGAATTTGCTAAAAAATTGGGAGTGGAAAAGAAATAGCCTTGAATCTCAGAATAATTATGGGGTGGTATCCATTGTTTGGCAGAGAAATATCGGGGTTTACTATCGCGTTTTTATAATATCTTGCTGAATCTCGGGTTTCACTATCTCCAGTAATCGTCCAGATTTTTTTTTACCCGCCACTTACATCGTAGACGATCACCCAATCAAGATGAGGCAATTTATAATGCTTTATTTTATATCTGGGATAATCAATGCATGATCTATTTCGGGTGTTAAATCTATTTCTGGATGTACTACAAGCATATAATTGTGACAATAGTTTAAAAAATTGATCTCTTTATTGATGTAAATACAAAACATTATCTATTCTATATCAGACGACACAGTTAAAGTACCCAAATTTCTACTTGATCTTCGTAAGCGAGAACTGCGTAATATTGACATGTTAACTATTAGTATATTTCGAAAAATTAGTAAAGTAGTTATAAGCTCAGCTAAAATAAAAGGATCGTTAGAATAATGAATGGGGATCTCTGATTATAATATCGATGCACCTCAACATCATCTCTAATAAGTACATTCAAACGTAACATACGTCCCAATACCTGTATTCCCATAATACCAAATTGTCCCTTTTCCAATCTGCGACTTTTATGTGCCCAGAACATCCCGTCATTAACTTCGCGCCGTAACTTCACATCATCATCATCTCTCTTTTGCTTAGTATAAACAATTCGAGAACATTCCGCATACATTAATTCATCCTCCTTACTTACAAACATAATGTCGGGTCGCCTCCCCATTTTCCCATCTCCTCTCCTATCTGCACTTGCGTTACTTTGGCGTTCAAAACTAAAAATATAGATAAATCGGCATTAATATAAAGATGGTTTTATAATCGAACGTCATAATAATAATTACTCACGTGGTGATAAATGCCGATTCCCCAAAAGGATTATTAAATAAGGCAGCGTGAATTAATGGAGCAACTACATTATTTACATAGGTACCCTCATTCAACATTCAGGGAATGTGGAACTGGAGCGATGCAATGCACAACGAAAAAACTTTCACAAAGAAAATGCAACCAGCAGGTCATACAATTACATGTTCTGATGACCTGATCAAACATCTGTGTTACGCAATCGATTTTTCAGGCATGTAATTTTATTGGTCACAGTGGTCGTACGATTGCATTATGCATGAAAGCTTCCATGACCTTCGATTTTATTCTGTGGTATAGCATGTGATAAATGTATTTTAAATTAGGGTGTCCTTCCCCCCACTATACGAATGGGTTAGTGTATAGAGAGCTCAATCAACTTATCAATTGGATATTAAGGACTAGTACCCAGGTCAACGGAATGCATTTTCTTATTCATGTAGTAGCGAATATTTCGAATGTTGCATACTAGATCTGGTTAGTTTAAGACAAATTCTTTATTATGGATAGCCTTTACAGTGTTCTATTTACATTAAGTCAGGCATTCTGTTAGCGAGATCTACGTTTATTCAATATTGTAATTATTGTATGTCAGTCGGAACTATAGAATAATGGTAAATTTGTTTGGTTTTCTACTTCAGTTTTGTCCTGTTTGATCAATAGTTACATACTCACAAACGTCTATATTAATAAACAAGTAATAATTGTTGGTCAATTCTAAAAGGCGGCTTTCGTACGTTGCATCCATCTATCCCATATAACTACTGCTAACCTTCCCAACAGCAATGTTAAAGATAATTGGTGTAATTTACGTAATATACTGCAGCACATTTAGCAATGGCATTTGATTTTATTTGTGCATCGTATATTTTACTCACTTATTAACAATGTTGGAGACAATCGGTGTAATTTACATAAGCTGTAAAATAAATTATCGATTGTCACACTACGATGATCGTTTCTGAGAATGCGCGGGACTATTTCTTATAAGAATAAGCTCTGTTTATATTTTTTATGTAAACATCAATAAGCCTATACCATCTTTAGGAAACAAAATTTATAAGTTGATAGGCCGTTTATGAGAAA